TTTTTACTCTCTTTTGGGCATATAAAGCTTATTATCTGTTAATGAGACGCCCACAGAGGTGGCAAACATTATATTACATTAACATTAACGAAAAGCCTCAGACTCGCCAAGACTGAACCGACAGAAGAAAACTAGTGAACATCATAACTATACCAACGATACAGCACTTTTATTTTAATTATTTATATAAATTTTCAAATAATTGAATCCTCATAACTCGTTTACAATGCATACATTCCAAGGTTTCCATCCTACACAGTTAACACTTTGAAAATTTCAACAACTCATCTTTGAGGCTAAGAATATTTTCAACCCCAGAATAATAAGAAAGAATAAGAAATTTTTTTTTGTTTAATTTTATTTATTCACCCACACCTGTCATAAGTAATGACAATTAGCGGGTCTGCTGTCGGTAAGTGTACAGGCAGTGGCTTGATCGGCGTGATGGAGAGGAGTACCCAGCGGCATCCCTTCTTGTCTTGATTTTAGCATATTTTTAAGTGAGGAAGTTCCTCATTCTGCTCCTTTTGAGCCTCCTAAGAGTGTTTTCGGGCATGTTAAATGTAGCGATACTTTGTATAAGTGTGTTAGTATGTCCATGTAAGTTATTGTGGAATCGCTTGTAGTGTGTCCGTATGTGATCGTTAACTGTTGGCATTTGAAGGTCTTTATGCAATGCAATGTTTGTGACGTACCATGGAGCTTTGGTTATGGTTCTGAAAGTTTTAGACTGAAAAGTTTGTAGTTTTCGTATGTGGGTCGTTTTGGCTGTTCCGTAAATTTGTAAAGCGTAGGTCCATATGGGCTTAAGTAGATAATTCTAAGTGTTCAGTTTTAATTTTAATTTTGTCCCTGATCCTTGGAAAATATCTATTGTGAAAATGATCCACAAACCCAAAAAGCCACCAGAATATCCACCCTCTTACCGTCCCATCTCTCTGTTACCCATCATGGGAAAAATCCTGGAAAAACTAATCTTAAAACGCCTGTACCCAATCCTAGATTCTAATCACATAATCCCAGATCACCAATTTGGATTCCGTTCCTCCCATTCCACTATACAGCAATGCCATCGTGTGGTAGACGTAGTATCTTCTGCATTGGAGCGCGGTATGTACTGTACGGGAGCCTTTCTCGATGTTGAACGGGCGTTTGATGGAGTTTGGCACCCGGGACTGCTGTACAAACTCCGAAAATTCCTACCATCTACCTACTTCCTCATTATCCGTTCCTACCTTACTGATGGATACTTTAAAGTAAATCACAACAACGTCTATACATCCCGTTTTTCCCAGCCTGCAGGTGTTCCTCAAGGTAGTATCCTAGGTCCTATCCTTTACATAGTTTATACAGCTGACATCACAACCCATCCCAACACTATCATCACCACATATGCTGATGACACATGTATCCTATCAGTTAATAAAGACCCATCTATTGCATCCCAAACCCTTCAATCCCACATCACAAACCTTGAAGAATGGTGTCAGAACTGGAGAATTAAAATAAATTCCAATAAATCCATCAAATTACCTTCACCCTTCGTCGTAAACCAATGACTTCCTGTCCTTCAGTATCCTTTAACAACACCTCACTTATTCCTGTTGAACAAATCCGTTACCTAGGACTCCATCTGGACAAACGTCTAACTTGGAATCCTCATACCAGACTGAAACGACAAGAAACAGCTCGACGTTTCCGACTACTTCAACACTTACTAGACAAACGCTCTAACCTTCCAATCAATTATAAAAGACTGATTTACATGACTATAATAAGGCCTATTTGGACTTACGGGGTTGAGCTATGGGGCTCCACCAAACCTTCAAATTCCTCTCGCATACAATCCTTACAATCCAAAATCCTTCGTAAAATCCTCAATGCTCCTTACTTTGTTACAAATAAAATTATCCATAATGACCTTAATGTTCCTTATGTATCAGATTTGGCCCAATCCAGATATCTGTCCTCTATAATAAACTTCATAACCATCCCAACCCTCTTGTCTCTAACCTTCCTTCCTATTCGATTCCTGATAACCCTCCGAGGCGTCTGAAAAGAATGGCCACGTGATCTTCTAATATAGACATATTATTAGAGTGCTACCAATGGGTAGTTTCTCAACATGTGTTCCATGTCTTTATACCAATTTGTGAATTTACCAGATGTATTTTTGTAGACAGTTGTAAATATCATATAAATAAATAATAATAATAAAAAAAAAAAAAAAAACTGAGCGTGAGTATAAGAGAGAAGTGAGTATAACAGTCGTAGTCTGAGGTTTAAAGTTTTTCTTTTTTTGTTGATATGTGGACCCCATGTCATTCTTCTGTTGAATGTCAGTCCAAATATGAGTTCTCATAGAATAAAAGTCGTATAAACATTTCTTAAGTTTCTTTTACAAGAGTAATAATTTTGATCTGATTTTTAACCCTAAAATTCATTTAATTATGAGCCATCAGAAGATCATATCGATTACGGGTTCCAAAATAAATCTATACTCGAATTGATGAATGGTTCAGATATTTTTTCTAAAAACTAAAAACTATTTTGGATGATGAGCTGTAGAGAATGTTTGTGAAGTTGAAGAACAGATGCTGACACCTAGCAAGAGCCAGGTGTATCTTCTTAGATCGGCCTTCAACCTCACATCAAAGGGGCCTCATTGACATCCTTCAGCTGGATCGACTTCTGATCTTGAGGAGAATCCAGGATGCGGTCTCGGTCCGAAGGCGAAAACTTTAGGCGCCAAAATAAATATAAAATACGTAAATAATTCGCTTATATGTTCCTGGTCAGAAATATGAATTTGGCTTATGACGTATAAGATACAGCTATTATTCACTTTCAAAATTCCTAAACAATCATGTATTTATTTTATATACTTAATGAATTACAACTTTTGGTTTATTTAATAATGACCCTTTGTAATCGACTAAGAAAAAAAATGAACGTTAAAAATTGGACATTTTACAGTTCAACATACTTAGATCCCGAAATCGAATACAAAAAAGAAATCGTCCGTCTGTCCTCAGCAGCGGTTACCCGAATATGATCCTCCGAACTCGGCATTAACATCCACCCTTTCTGCTGAAAATGGCGCAAGCAAAACCAGTAGCGCATGAACGGCTGGGACGATTTTGATGAAACTTGACAGAAGTCTTCTCATTAAAGCCTTATAATTTTTTTTAATATAACAAACTTACACGAAAGGAATCTGGAAAAAAAGTAACGATGAATGAAAACTTTTATTTGCGAATAACTCAAAAAGTATACGGGCGTAATAATTCTGAAAAAGTATACATTATTTATATGATTATGTTTATGTTTATTTCAAGGTTTAAGGAATTTTATATAAAAATAAATCTTATAAAATAAAATATTTAGCAGATATGTATCGTTCGAAATATTTAGCGCATGTTCTAAAGCAAAGTGGGTCTTCCTTGCTTTGGTTTTTGATAACTAGAAATAGTCCGCGAGCTTGTGGTAAAAAAATGGGTAATAGTTCATACTAAGGTTTATCCTTGTAAATTGATCATGTCCACATGGCTGGTGAGAAAAATGCACGTCTGCCAGGATGTAGCAGCAGGAATACATATTGGCTGCCATGGAGACGATAGATACCCTACATAGGTATTAAACGTGGTATATATATATATATATATATATATATATATATATATATATATATATATATATATATATATAGAGAGAGAGAGAGAGAGAGAGAGAGAGATAGAGCTTGTAGATATATAAATCTACTAACCCTTTCAATTTATAGTATTCTCAGTCTTAAGACATGAAATAATACAAAATCATTCGATAATACAAAAATAAAACAAAAATTCGAGGCATGGCCACAACTAACATGCCTGATAGCACCCGAAGGAGACTTAAAAGAAGCTGGATGAGGGATCTCCTCCACTAACTATAAATATTACATTCAAGATGGGATGGACGCCACTGGGCAGTCCTATTCCTCAGGCCTATTCAATGACCTATTAAACTACTACATCTTGACATCACAATCGCTGATTGTCGGAACTTCTGACAGGTGTGAGTTGAAAAAATTAAGTTACTAGAAAAAATAAACCCTACATAGGCAGTAAACGTATACATTTAGAGAGAGAGCTTATAGATATATAAAGCTACCAACCCTTTCAATTTATAGTATTTACAATATTAAGGTATTAAATAATAGTCAGTTACCCCAGACTCGTGGATTTCAAGTTGAAAAATTGAATTTACGATTCAAAATGTTTACTTTTTCGGTTTTTTGCTTATATTAGTGAAACTGTGCGATCTATCTATAGTAATTTTATATATGAAATTAAAGCTTATTTAAATTAATTAAAGCAAATTAATTAATTATTGGTGAATCAATTAAATCTTTTAAAAACTTTACATCAATCGAAGCGTTCGAGATTATTATCTATATTTCTTAACAAATAACTTTTAAAAAAAAGAAATGCCAATTTTAGCGAATAAGTTTTATTAATTTTTCTAGAAATGTTAAGAAAAGTAGTGTGACATGTCAAATGTATTTGATATATAGCTATTAAGAAATATGTCTAAAAAAAAATTGTCATATATTTTGCAGTGTTTTAATACTGTATTTATTTTTTATTTTTTTGGTTACAGATAGGCGTAAGAAGACATTGAACTTCAAAATAAAAGTGCGCTGTGGACTTTACGAGACGGACTTCATTCGAATTGAAGTGAGGTGGACCCAAAGCCAAATATTAGAAGCACAATGCAATGTGATTATTGACAACGAGTGTTGTGAAATATCTTTTCTATTTGCGATGGTGTTAAGTTTAATTTATTTTTTCTTACATTTAATTATAAGTTTTTTTTCTTATTCTTATTCTTTATTATTTGAAAATAAAGTGTACGATTTTTTCTTTCCAATGAAATTAAAATTAAATATAAGTTAGTCCTTACTGTACCACAACTTCCTGTTCCTGGAGATAATAGCGAACTATTAGCTGTATCTCGATGGAGGACTTCCTGCTGATTTTTGGCAGGAATGTTCATTAGCTACATTAGGTACACGATACTGTTCACACCTCTCGCGATTTAGCATCTCTTGAGAAATTTTCAATACTTTATTTGTTTGTTCTTTTAAATAAACAAATAATGGCTAAATGGAACAAGATTATGGTATTGTTGGTTTTCCAATTACTGTATTATGCCAGCATATGCAAGGTTTGTATGTTTCTATTTTGACTTATTTAATTATCGATAAGATTGGTAATAAACTGGTTTTGGTACAGTTTCAGACTTACAACGGACTGATGATCGACTACTTCGAAAACTGCCCGGATCGTACTCTGCCCAACAGGGTCGAGAACCAGACCATCATCCAGCTGTCCAGGGATAAGATAGTCGTGAATGCAGATATCGAAGTAACCAAGATTACTCGAAAGCTTCCGGTATATCTATAATTATAATATTCTTTATTTATATAGATATAATTTAATTTAGAAACATATTATAATCAAGAATAATTAAGGTTCAAACACCCAGAAAATGCCCCTGAAATCTTAAATCAATCGGTCTGAGCTGGTTGAAGAACATTTTCGCAATACCCAAGGTTCAAATTAAAATAAAAAAGCTAAAAGCTAAAAGTTCTATAAAAAGTTAAAAGTTCTTTTAGCCTTTTAGGTTGAAAATTTGCTTAAGATACTACGGTGTTTTCGGACTTGGCTCAAGGTCTAGTGAGTGAATTGTTCGATAGTTGGTGTCTTAAGTCGGCATGTAAAGTTTTGATATTTACCTATTTAAGTAATAAAATAATACATAATAAGTAATAAAATTACTTATTACACTTAAAATTTCGGGTTGAAAATATTGTAGTTTTTGTGAGTTTTTTTTTTCTGAACTGTAAATCTGTGCGGCGTGTGGCTATTCGGGTTTGAGTAGCATGGCTATGCATTTTATTTTTGTCTGGTTTTTAATGTTAATTTGGAAAAAAGAAATTATAGTATCTTCAGCCGCTTGCTAATTTTTTTTAAATATACGACTGTAAGCATATATACAACTAGTAAATCAGCTATAGGAATATATAATATGAAGGTACTTGTGAAGGAGCTACCCATTGGTAACCCTTCAAAGATAAATTAATTTAAGAGGTCCTTGTCCATCTTCTAAAGAAGTTTTCACTTCAAAAAATTGTATATTGTATGCCAAAGTTTCGGCCTAAGTTGCTAGCATTTTATTAATCGTTCAGTTCTGGCCGAAGGATTTGTAGGGCTTATATAACAGTCAGATTCTTAAGACGAAAATGGTACTTTTATGTAAGCTATTGGCAATGGCAGGGAGTCGATTAGGTCGTTGGAATATTTTATCGGTATTCAGTTGCAGGTCTGTCAATTGCAATATCTTCATAAAAACTTAAGTTTTTGACAGTTAAGTCTGACGTAAAACTTTATTACGGTCTTTTCGGCCTTGGCCTTACTTAGTAGAGCTTGCTAAGTGAGCTATTCCATAGTTGGTGTCGTAAGTCGGCATGTAAAGTTTTGATATTTACCTACAAAATTACTTATTACTCTTAAAATTTTGGGTTGAAAATATTGTAGTTAATTTGGAAAACAGAAATTATAGTATATTCAGTCGCTTGTTAAATTTGATTAATATTTTTTTTATTGAAATTTACAACTGTAAACATATATACAACTAGTAAATCAGTTATAGGAATATATAACATGAAGATACTTGTGAAGAAGCTAAATTAATTTAGGAGGTCCCTTGGCCATCTTCTTTTCAGACGGCTTGGAGGATTGTCAGGAATTGTATTGGATGAAAGGTTACGAACTAGAGGGTGACTAAAGAGTTTGGAATTAAAAGAGATATATCTAGTTTAGGCCAAGTCTTTCACAACAGGAATGTTGAGGTCTTTATGGATAATTTTATTTGTTACATAATAAGGTGCATTTAGGATTTTACGAAGGATTTTGGATTGAAAGGATCGAATACGGGAAGAATTTGATGCACTTGTTAAAATAAAGTATTTCCTTTCATTTTGACATGAGGACTCTCGGTTACAGAACTGCCTGTCTCCTCCTCCCCCCAAGGTCGATGGTGCAAGAACCTTCCCTCTTCCCTTCCCAAGACATTTTATTGCTCACCTTTTCAAACAAACAGATCAAGGGAAGTAGAATTCGAAAAATCGTTGATAATACACAATTACACTTGCTGTGGTCTGTACCTCGTTTTCTCCTTGCCCCTTATTCTGAAACGTTTCATTCTGAAAATTCATAACCCCGTTGTAATTCGCCCCAATAAAAATTTCAAAATATGCCCACCTAAAAAAGTTTGATAGCGCAACTTGCGCCACTAAACCCTCTTCTGGTCACCCCTGCATGATAATCTGTAGAATATTAGTCCAAGATTCTTGGTGATATAAACTGGTGGACAACTTTCTCGTCGAAGTGTAAATGTTGTATGTTGGGATTTATCATGATTTAATCTTCACGAACACAAATAGAATATGAGACCTTAGGACGTCTCTGACTCTAGGCATACTGATAAAATTAACTATAAAACAAATAATCGATGTCAATAGCCTAAAAAGGTATATATTATTATTTAATAATTCAGACTTTGAATTGTATTTTTGTATATTTTCCGTCGGAAATAATGTACAGCACTGGATCGAAAGTCGTTGGTGGAAGGCGGAGTTGCGATTATACCTATATGAACTATTATAACATATCTGAATTTTTAGATGTCAGTTATATATATGTATATATATATTTCCCCAACTACATTTCGGCTTCTCCAGCGGTCTCTGTTTGACCTAATAAGTTGAAATTCAGTATATAGAATTGGTTCTCAGACGGAATAATACTATTAACTTTGGAAAAATTTTCGCATGTAAGATCGTTTTTCTCTGTTTTTAAAGTATCGCGCATTTCCACAGCTCCTCCTAATAAAGTTGGAAGGTTAAATTTTTTTGGTATTATGTTAATATTATGTTGGTGTTGGAGAAGTGCCTTTGGAGGATCACATCACCATTTTTGTTTCGAGATGGCGGCGGAAAAAAACCGTTTTTCTATATACTACAACACTAAAACGGTTGTAACGGTATTGATAAAAAGTTTCCTATAGTATTCCTCAAGAAACACTATAAATTTATGTATATAACGTATTTTCTCGAAAAAGGAATAGAAAAGAAGTCTTGAACAAAATAAAAAATTATAATTGCAAATAACTCAAAAGGGTGTCCTTTTCGGATCAGAACATATTTTGAAGGCAGTTAAATTTAAAATACAGTTTCTTTGAGACAAGATACAGATCTTTGCTTAGGAAAATATGATCAATATTTAGAACAACATATCTTTTCACCAAATTGTCCAATTTTAATGAATGTTTATTCATTTTTAGGTAATTTAGTATACTTTCAAATGACCATTTCAAAGTTAATACTTTTGAGGGTATTCGGATAACCAACGTTAACGTCGTAATTATTTTTTCCTGATAGTTTTGGCTGAAGTTTATTATAGACGTAAATTTAAAGTTCTTCCAGGAGACGATTCAGGCCATCTATCATTGAAATCGGTTCATCGCTTTAGGCGCTGCATAGTTTTTTATTTTTTATTATATATCTTAAACCTACCAGAGTCCTAATTCTGGGATGACAGTTTTTATAATTATATACATAGCTTATTACACATAAGTGCACAAAATAAGAAATTGTTTCCTACATTATAACCTAAATATCCGGACAAAGCAAAAGCGAAATTCAGGTGCGTGCATCACACAAATTCCACTTACCACCCTCTCCTTAGCAGAAATAAGTATTTTGAGACAAAGGGGAAGTGAAAGTAAATATTATAGGCTCTATATTTATTTAGATTTCTTTTTGAGTCTTTTATATGTAAAAGTACGCTTATATATATACAAATTTTAATATTTGTATCGCTGTAATCTATATCAATTAAATATGAAATAATACCAACAATAGCATTTATAAAACCACATATGTATATTTACATAGTGGTGTCGGAGTCCGTATTATATTAAGTTCATGTTACGTAGGGAAGCCTGTTGTAATCTTTCGGATGAGCTCGGGTGACATCGGGCAAGCTCGTATTCGTTTGATTCCTCCATTACAACTATTGTCCGTTAAGATCTCTTATTTCTTCTTTTATTAATTATCAAATTCTTTCATATTTTATATTTAACTATTTTTTATATCGAAGATTAATAAGAAATGGTCAATTATTTCAAATAAAAAAAAGATACATTAGATTAGAATAGTGGTTAAATAGTTGACTGTCGTGAATAATGAAGAGAAGAATAAGAAGTCGTTTGCCGACGTTTCAACCTGAAGTTCAGGCCATCATCAGGGCTGACTGCTTGAAGTTAAAAAATTATGTTAAAATTAAATTACACACACACACACAATTGGTTATTTGGACTCTGGGAACCTCAAAACCTGTATTTCCGTTGAAAACTGAGATTAAAAAACTTTCAAGATCGCAATACTTTCATTTACTATTAGTCAAAGTAATAACAATTTAATTCCTTTCTATTTTTAAAAATTAAAAGTAATTCGAAAATAGAACCTTAGTGACGACACTCATCCCTTTTTTATATCTATTTATGTTGGTTATTTATATTGTATTTCAACTTTTTATAGTTTTTTCCAACCATAGATTCATACACCATAGATTCATACACTGTAGATTCAGTAGGCAGTGTATTCGTATGGACAACGAAGTTCATAGATATTGATCAACGCCAAATAATTACGAACGATTTTCTATCTTGTCTGATCGTCGACACACGCAACTATTTTTTTTTCTTTTTTGTAATAATGTTTTGTACATTTCTATACATTCCTGAAATCGATGGTCTGTTTAGATTTGAGCTTGTCCGGAAAATAAACAAGGATTTATCTCTCATGTCACATCCTTTTTTCGCAACGTTGCCATTGTTTCTTATTGTCACTACCGAAAGCTTATCTGTATTTGCGATATAGCAAAAACAAAAATAATGAAATAAAAAAAAAACTGGTGTGGTGCGCTCATCACATTACATCTGAAGAAAGAAAGAAACTAACTACCTATATGAAATGGTGTTTAAGTGATTCTTCAAGTCCTATGAAGTGTAATTAGACGAGCAATAATACTTTTAGAGATAATATTTTTCATAATATATGGTTATATTTTACCATTTAGGAGGGGGGAGGAAAGGGGAGGCTTCAGCCCGAAAGCCCTTCTGTGCTTAAAATGACCCAAAAAAAGTTTAATAAACCGTATACATAATAATTATGCAATGTTGACCCTACAACCTGAGTGTCTATTACTGGTAGAAAATATTCTATCTGAATTTTCTAAGTTTTTTATGAATAATAAACTAATTGACTGTATAGAAAAAACGAAAATCGGCAAAAAGCTAAATTTGCTGTCGATTAAATCCTTTTGCAAAGATACGCTATCATAATTGTTGTGATTCACATTAATTTTGTAAAATTCTCTTAAAGTACTGGTACATTTACCTTAATAATTTATTATTTTATATTAATTGTAAGTGCATGATAAATATCAATTACGATAAATAGTTATCATTGCATAATAATAATAATAATAATGCTTTATTTATTCTGGGACAAGTACCCTTTGGAATAATGTACAGAGATAAAAATGTGGGCTTTGGAGCCTCAGAGAATAATCACAAAATAAACTGATTTAAATAATGACTAAATAAAAGAAAATAATATTATTTACATTCAATCTTCATTAAAAAAATGAAATAAAGTATTTAAAACAAACTAATTATTTATATACGCATTTTATGAGAGCTGAACGGATAAGAGGTGATTGAACAGGCGGGATTTTAAAGTTGGAGAGGGTATTGGAGTGACGGATGTAGGATAGGATAGAGTTCCATAGGGATATGGATCGAATAATGAAAGATCTGTCGAAAGCAGCGGTTCGGTCAGACAGGTGGGCGGGGTGGCCGAATGGGCTAACGAGTGTGCACAGACAGCACCGCCGTTGCCTGGCAACCTGACATATGAGACAACGATGAAAAATAGTTCCGAGTTCGCATCCCGGTGCCGGGGGAGTCTTTTAAATCCCCGTCCACACTCCCTGGCCCGGGAGAACCCCGTATAGCCTTAAATGCGAGGAAGGGGAGGACAAAAGAAAAAAAAAAAAAAAAGGTTCGGTTAGACAGAGGATTCGAATTGAAGGATGACTTGGACGAGGAAGGATGCTAGGAACTACTTACGTCGAAAGGAAGGATAAAGCCAGTTCAGCTCATCATAATAACGGGAAATAGAGGCGTCCCTTGGGATCCCGAAGATGAATCGTACAAGGAAATTTATCAAACGTTTTAGTTTCGCCTCGAGATCTCCGTAGACGCCCCATATAGCGCACAGCAATAGTCGAAGTGAGGAAATATTAAGGATGTAATAAGGAGTTTACGGGTTTCAAATGGAAATAGGTGGCGGAGGTAATTTTGCCGTTTTACTGAAAATACTGTAGTTATTCTTTATAATAAAAACGTTATTTTGTCCATTTTTTTTTTACTCTAAAATTGAAACAATTTTCAGGCACTCATCAAGATATACAAGTGTCCTTCCAGGTCAGGCACAGACTGTGAGACCTTCCTCAGGGTCACTCAAAAGGACTTCTGTCGTATCTTCACGGAGAAAGGACAATTCTGGTCTGCCTTCTATGAGAAAGCTGTCACTCCAAGAGTTTATTGTCCTATCAAGAAGGTAAACAAATAAAGATAATTTATGAAGAGCACATAGCACGTTGAAATCCCATTTCATGGCGCCAAAAGAATATGTTTTTTCTTCAGAAATTTAAATCATTTTTTTAATTAATTTTATTTTTGTGCCACGATTTCAAAGGCTTCATTGATGGTGACATACTCCATCTTTCTATTTTTACCGATGGATAGTGATTGATTCATTATTTATTTTTATCATATAAAAAATATTAGAGATTTCAGAAATGTTAGGTATTGTAAATTAAATGAAAGTGTTTATTTAGTTATAATTACTAAAAATTGGCCTCTACTAATAATTCCTGTAATATATTGGAAAAAAAAATTATAGTATAATGCTGAAATAAGAAAATGCAATAACTTTTAAGAGAGGGTTAAAAAGCTTTTCTTGGCAAATGTGCTAAAATTTAAAATAATATAAGAAACATTATATTTCGATATTTACTTGTTTTTTTTTTATAGTATGACATTTAATCATATTTTACATTATTATGTGTATAGTCGACGATAAGTTGTATATTTTTTGAACTAAGCAAAATTATAGTTTTCTTTTCTTTATAACTTTTTTTTCTTGTTGCTTATTTTTTGGTATTAGTGCAGAATTTAATATTCAAAATGATGACTCAAGCATTGGTTTTATGAATATTAAATTATTGTGTACTAACAATAAAACACCTTTTGAGAAATAATATATTAAAATATTTATCTTTTTAGTTAAATAAAATTGCATTCCATCTATTTTTTTTACATAATTAATAACAAACAAAATATAAATATAAATATAAAATATGACAGAATTTGATAAATAACTAAGGGAGAAATAAGAGATCGTAACGGAGAATAGTTGTAATTGGGGAATCGAAATAATACGAGCGCACCCGAGCTCGCCCGAAAGATTAAAACACGCTTCCATACGTATCATGAGATTAATATGATACGGACTCCGACAATATTATGTAAATGTACATATGTGGTTTTCATAAATGCTATTGTTGGTATTATTTCATATTTAATTGATAGGATTACAGCGATACAAATATTAAAATTTGTATATATAGTATATATATATATATATATATATATATATAAGCGTACTTTTACATATAAAAGACTCAAAGAAATCTAAATAAATATAGAGCCTATAATATTTACTTTCACTTCCCTTTTGTCTCAAAATACTTATTTCTGCTAAGGAGAGGATGGTAAGTGGAATTTGTGTGATGCGCGCACCTGAATTTAGCTTTTGCTTTGCCCGGATATTTAGGTTATAATGTAGGAATCAATTTCTTATTTTGTGCACTTATGTGTAATAAGCTATGTATTGTCTGCCCTATTTTAATTAATTTTACTTATCTTTAGGTTATTTTATTTTTACTTTGCATCCACTTTCCATTTCATCCACTTTGGAATGGACTATTATTCGAAATTTCTATCTTCGTCCTACGCCGAGTTGAAGAATCGGAAAGGGAAAAAGATCGCGCCAAAAAACATATAATGTCTATCTTGAACATTTGACTAAAATATCTCAAAATGTAATTATCGTGAAGAATTTAAAAATCGATTTCTCCAAGTCAATATGGATATATTTTTTATTTAGCTTTAAAAAAAAAAAGAGAAGAAATTAAGTGTTTCTATTCGATTTTCTTTAGTGTTTCGACAAATTTTAGTTGATCTTTGGATATGGATTTTAATGTCAGCAAATTTAGACTTTTATCACTGTTTCATTTATAGAGTCAATACGTTAATTATTCAAGAAAAACATGGGAAATTCTAATGGTGTACATCGTACCAGTAATAGACACTTAGGTTTTTTATATAATTGAAAAAATCCAAAATAAATTCTTTACAGTTTTAAGATATTTAAAGTTTTCTTACCAGATTTTTTTTATTAGACATAGTTTTCTTTATTCTTATTTAGTTATTATTTTACTTTTGTTAATTTTTTATTTTCTGTATATATGGTGTGAATTTGTTCATTTATCACTATAATTATTGTCCACGAGACAGAATATTATATATCTCAATAAATAAATTAATTATATTCTATTATATGTCCGATTTTGATCTAATGGTTAAATTAATATCATCGTCATAGACCAGAAACTATAGGCCTTATTGAAAATAACCTGTTCGTATCTGTGAATCTTTTATCACATTCTCTTGACCTAGGTTGAATAGAAGGCATTGCCTTGGCTTCACCATGATTCAGTCCATTCCTTGTTTGTACTGGATTTCATAGATTGGACTGGATTCTAATTTGACATGTATAGTTGGACATGGGTACTTGGGCTAGCTTCAACAGTGTTTTTATCTCTCCCACCTGTCTATTTATTAGTAAAATAATGAAAATTTATTAAAAGAATTTTCTTTTAATTTCAGGGGCGCTATATGATAAGGAACGGTACTATCGACCTAAAGATGATGCTCCAGTCAATGCCTCCAGTGACAGACATGCAGGACTATTACTGGAAATTCAGGACACAGCTGTTTACACCTGATAAGGAGGAGCTGTTTTGTGTCACCAGTGGGGGAAGGCTACTCAAGTTCAGGAAGAATTGAAAATATAAATACCAACAGATTTTTCATTTTTTTAACTAAAAGATAAAATTGTTCTATATATCAGAATTGTTTACCACTCTGAATGTGTTTAATTTAATAAATATAAAAAATATGAATTTAAAATTTTATTTAATTGCTGATGACCTTACATTTCTTTCTTCCAAGAAAAATCCAATCATCGCTGCAATTTCCCTTTAAAAGTGGTTTAAAAAAATGGAAAATTACAATAAATGGCAGCAAATCCACCCACATATGTTTCTCTCTTCGAAATGCCTGATGCCCATTTATAATTATTGACTGTATTATTAAATACTGCAACGGTGGTTATTCTGTAGATCGATACGGGACAAATTGAGCTTTGAAGATTTTATGCGTACAGCAAGACCCGGATAGTTCCTCTAGAACTATCGGATCGTGCGTTTTTAATCCCAAAAACGTACTATTTTCGAGATAACGCAAGGCAAAGGGTTCGCATCTACACAACCATACGTAAATTGTAGTAGTGCCATTGAATACATGTCTCATTTCGTCGGCTTGAGGTCTCTATGATCGAGAGAGGAGAAGGAGTTTATATTATTTATCGATGTTTTTTTTTTCATCGGAGACTATATCATCGTTAATTATTCACCAAATCCCAAGATTGAGTCACTAATTTTGAAGGCTTCGTTCTCCTTCAGGCGGAAAAAATAGTCCAATCACCCCGAAAATTCAGTCAAACAAGTTATGAAAGAAAAGAAACTTTATTTGCGAATAACTAAAAAATTGCACACTTTTCCTTGGGTTATACCCATGATTATATAAAAGATTACTAAATTCCCTAAAAAATGGAAAAAAAAATCATCGAAATCGGACAATTGTTAGCAAAGATACAACTTACTAAAATTTGTAAACATGTTGGTTCCAAACATTAATGAAGATTTAAATTAATTTTTGTTTCCTTTGTCGATTAGGTTTATCCCAGACTTAAAAGACAAGAACTTAACCGACGATTTGGCCAGTTATACAAACTACTTAACAGAAAATCTAACCTCTCAATTGAAAACAAACTATTAATATACAAGACCATACTAAAACCCATCTGGACCTACGGACTTGAACTGTGGGGGACAACTAAATTTTCGAACATCAAACGCATCCAATCCTTCCAGTCCAAAGTCCTTCGTACAATAGTAAATGCTCCTTATTATGTTACAAACAAAACTCTACATCATGATCTTAACATCCCTCATGTCCTTGACGTTATTCCATCCCGTTTCTCAAATTTTCATCAATCCATTCAACATTTCATCAACCTAATCCATCATCTTAATTCCTTAGCACAGTCCTTATCCAGCTCCAGCCGTCCCTACAGTCCTCCTCGAAGGTTAAAAAGGCAGTGGCCTCGAGATCTTTTGTAAATACGTCATTGGAATCCTGGCATTGGCCAGCTTCTCCACTCAAGTCATGAGCGTATGTGGCTTAGTCCTTTCTCAGTCTCCACTGGATCCCCATCTCAGTGATGCGGCTGTGAGAGAAGCGCCGTGATCTCTTAAGATCCTGCCTTATCTTCCACACGTGGGGGAAAAGGCCCGACTTGGAGATCCCTCGGCTGACAAAATATTGTAAATAAGCATGAATGTTATTTATTTTATTTTATTTTTATTTTCTTATTTATTTTTTTTAATTTGAGTTGTATCATATTTTATTTCATCTGTTTTACTAAGCTTTATTTTTGTAATTGTATATATTGTATGAATGAGCTTGTCACATCGCAAATACTCAATGCTCTCGATTAAAGCAAAATGTATTTTTTTTCTGAGAAGGAATTAGTCGAGGGTGCGGTCAAAAAAATAAAAAAAAATTAAAATATATAAATAATTTTAATTTTTGCCGACGTTTCGACCCACTTTGCAGGTCGTCTTCAGGGCTACAAAAGATACAAACATGTTGAAAAAATAAAAATAAAATAAAAAATAAATATAAGTATACTTATATTTATTTTTTTATTTTATTTTTATTTTTTCAACATGTTTGTATCTTTTGTAGCCCTGAAGACGACCTGCAAAGTGGGTCGAAACGTCGGCAAAAATTAAAATTATTTATATATTTTAATTTTTTTTATTTTTTTGACCGCACCCTCGACTAATTCCTTCTCATATCATATCAACGGTCAACCAACTCTACATCATTATGTATTTTTTTTCATTTAAAAAAAAAAAAGATTATGTTTATCAGTAAAGTAATATTTAGTTTCTTTATCTTGTGATACGTTGCATTATTTTTTTATTAATTTGGCATTTGATCAATTAACAATATCCTGTGCGAATTAGTCGCAGGGGCCTATTAGTATTAAAATAAATAAAATAAAACTTCATTTATCTTATAATCTACACTATATATAATACAAAAGGTATCCTTTTTCCTGCTCTCAGGAGTGACGGATTTTGATAAACAAGAGGGAATTTCATCTAGAAGTGACATATCCCAATTTCGGTCTTTACATTTCTTTCATCAACATTGAGATGGGATAAAATGTGCTTTTAACATTTCAGCACAGAATCAAAGACTCGACAGTTTTCTATGGAACTATAATCTTATTTTTTAAAGCCCAAAAACGTCCAATTTTGAAATAAATTGTAATTAATAATAATACAAGATAATAATGTAATAGCACAAGATAGATAGATATCAATGATATTACCAAAATGAAAATTAGATTTTAGGAGCTTTTTTAAAAAATTAGACTTAGCTAAAGGACTTTATGTTCATTATCTGCCTTCTAAAAAAGGTTAAAATTCGATAATTTCATTATAAAAAAATTGGTCTCAGGTACTAGATTAAGCTACCAAGGAGCACTCAATTTTCCACTAAATTGAATTTTTATTTAGGTGGCAATATATTTTCTTTTTAAATAATACTCATAATTGTTTTGTAATACTATATCATTGTAATTAAGAGAGACAGTAAGTGAATAACATTTTTCATGTGTAATAACGTTGCAACTAAAGTTGTACATAGGCTTTTAGGCTTGGAAAAACAAGAAAAAAACATCCATAAAAGTGTAAGAGGTATGAAAAGTATAGACATAAGTGATGTTCGTAGAGCAGGAAGTACATAGAGGAATATGAGAAAACATGTTTTTTAACCCGTGTCGCTATTGAATGAGGCGCATGAACGAATACGAATGAAACTTGACTAAAGTCTTTTCATCGAAGAAAAGAAGCCGGAAAAAAGTTTTGATGAATGAAAAATTGTATTTGCTTATAACCCAAAAAGAATACGGGCGTAATAATCATGAAATTTTTCGCCCTAAAACCCCAACTTTACCCTCAAAAGGTATACATTATTTATATGATTACGTTAATGTTTATTTCAAGGTTTAAGAAATTTCCTAAAAAAATTTATAAAATAAAATATATGCTGTAGAAATGTATGTAAATGTTTAGCACAAATTCTAAAGTAAAGTGGATTCCCTTTGCTTTGGTTTTTGATAACTAGAACACTTTAGATTAATCGAAGCATTCGAGATTATTATCTATATTCCTTAACAAATAACAATAAAAAAAAAAGAAATACCAATTTTAGCTAATAACTTTTATCTATTTTTCCCGAAATGTTATCAAACGTAGGGTGACATGTCTCATTTTTTTTTCTTTTCCTGTTGGCGTTACAGTCTAAGTAGGTCATTTACCACCATAACAAGTCTGGTCCCCTTGATTGAGAAATTCCTAGAAATGCTCTTTCTAGATGTTCAATATCTTTTCTTCAAATGTCGTCAGAATGCCATCTTTTCCTCGCATTTGCACATTTCCCACAAATTATTCTACACTTTCTTTTCTAATGCCTGCGTAGGATTCACGTTTATCTCCAGCATGCCAGTTGTCCTCAATGGTTCGCAAACATTTATGAGGAATTTCCTTTTTGCTGATCTTATAATTTTGTTTTCCTTTTTCTTGGCAGCTGTGCACTTCCACTGAGCAACTTGGTCAGTTATAGTTAGACAGAGGACTTTCATTTTCTCCTTTCTTTTACTGCCTTTCGATATTTTGCATTGTTTTTTTTTTAAAATTCCGTTATTTTTTTTTTGCTAACAGATAGGCGTAAGAAGACATTGAACTTCAAAATAAAAGTGCGCTGTGGACTTTACGGGACGGACTTCATTCGAATTGAATTGAGAAGTGATCCCAAAGCCAAATATTAGAAGCACAATGCCATTTGATTAATGAGAACAAGTGCTGTGAAATATCTTTTCTATGTGCGATGATTTTTTTTCCTTTAATATTAAAATTACATATAAATTAGCGCATACTGCACCGCAACTTCCTGTTCCTGTAGATGATGGCCGAACTGCAAACTATTAGTTGTATCTCGATGGAGGACTTCCTGGTGACATTTAGCAGGGATGTTCATGAGCTACATTAGCTGATACTGTTCACACCTCTCGCGATTTAGCACCTTTTACTAAATTTTCAATAGTTTATTTATTTCTTTTTTTAAATAAAAAAATAATGGCTAAATGGAATAAGATTCTGGAATTGTTAGTTTTCCAATTACTTTATTATGCGAGCATTTGCAAGGTTTGTATGTTTCTATTTTGACTTATTTAATTATCGATAAGATTGGTTATAAACTGGTTTCGGTACAGTTTCAGACTTACAACGGACTGATGATCGACTACTATGAAAACTGCCCGGACCGCTCTCTGCTCAACTGGGTCGAGAACCAGACCATCATCCAGTTGTCCAGAGATACGATAGTGCTAAATGCGGCTATCGAAATAACCAAATTTACTCCGAAGCTTCCGGTACATATATAATTATAATATTCTTTAATTATACTAATATATGTTGCTTCATAAAAACATTATAATCAACAATATTTACGATTTAATGCCACAGAAAAACAAGCGCTTGAAACGTTGTTTCAATATCACCGATTTTTCAGTTCTTTTGGAGCTAGAACTTCTTCTCTTTCAACTTGTGGAATAAAGGATTTACAGAACTCTTGTTTTTAAAAAAAAAAAAATC